CAGGCTTAAATAAATTTTGAGAAATTTCAAAAAAACTTTTCAAAAATCATTTTAGCAGGCAAATTTGCCCGCTAGACAGTTTAAGGGATAGTTAATTTTGATTGCAGTGGTTTAGGCTAACTGCACCACCAATCTGGCAATCACCTTTGAACTAAGAAATTGTTAAATCCTCTTGCAAATGCCTAAAAAGATCGATACAAATTTTTTTTTTTAACATAAATTTATAGCATGTTAATGGTTAGAAAAAAAGACTTATATGATCCATAAACGCAAAAGCTATAACATTGCATACTCATATAAAATAATTAAATGACTTCAATGGGTTATAATAAAATCATTATCATACATTGCCAGACATTCTCTCAGTAAAAATTTCAATATTGGCTAATGATCTCCGATACGCATCTCTTTCCTGTGAAATTACCCTTCTATTTCTTTTATTCCCTCTTCTCTCTTTAGCAACCACCAAATTATTCTCCACCCACTTATTCCTTGGTTCTGTTAATTGTCTTATTTCCTCCTCGTGATGCTCCTTCAAATACTCCAGCTTCTTGTTCTTAATAAAGTTTTTGATCTCTAGTTGCTCCAAATACTCATCTAAGGCCACTTGTTCTGCGGCTTCTTGCTTTATTAAAAAAGTGCATGACTAAAATTTATGCTTTTTACCTGTCATCTATGTTGAAAAGTAAAAAAGAAATTAATGTTCTTCATACACACATATATATTAAGTAAACAAAAAAGAAAAATAAATAAAAACCTCTAAAGTATTGTATCTATCTCTCCTATACTTTGTATGGCTTAAAAAAATCAGATAAAGTAGATTAAAGAACTGAAAAATATTTATACCTTGATTTTTTATTATTATTTTTTTTTTAAAGAAAATTAAAATTATTTGTTGTGCTATTGTTATTGAGAAGAGAAGAAATAAAGATATAAATTTAGAACTTAGTTCTAAACTCCACGTTGTATCAAAATCTTAAAAATTATTTCTAAAGTACCTTTTTAAAAAACGAGAAAATCAAGATTTTTTTTTAAAAAAATTATCAGTTATGTTTTAAAATTGGTTTGTTAGTGTGTAGAAATATAAGGGAGCGATGGATATTCTGGTGCACTTAAAAGTTGCACATATAAAAAGTTTTAGAAAAAGTGTGTTTATTTTACAAAATTTAGCGAAATAAAAAAACATTCGATTTACTATTAAATGTTAAAAAAAGTCAGATTGAAAAAAAAATCTTCAAAATTTAAATATTAAAAAACCAAGGTATTGTCTGAATGAGGGGATCGTCTAAAGCCAGATAGTAATTTATATACATCACGTGATTTTTAATTTATGAATTTGTTAATAATCAATTTAAAAACTACCTGGCTTTAGACAACCTCCAAAAAAATCAAAAATTATGGTAAACCAACAACTCTGTCTTCAATCAAAGTTTAAAAAATTTCTAAAAAAGTAAAAACGATCTACATTATCGTTCTTTGAAATAATGTGACAAATAATGATCTTGAATCCTATATACTATTATTAAAACAATGACAATATAGATCATTGTCGTGATCTGTATATTATCATTGTTTTAAATATAAATCCTCAAAATATAAGTTTAAAATCTTTATATTTTTTATTTTTATACTGATTGTTTATTTGGTGTTTAGGCTATTCTAATAACGATTTTGCTGCAAATTCATAATATGTAGATTTTTAATTTTAATTAACTAGACTGAATCTGAAAAAATTAAGTAATTACAGATCCATGTTTTACGGCTTGAAAATAAAATAATGAGAGATGTTAAAAAAATGATATGGATAAAAAAAAAAATGGATAACAAAATTTTCATGAAAAATGCATTATTAAGGACTTATTGTTAAGAAAATGAGATGTTATAAAATGACAATATTAATCAAATTTTGTAGATTTATTTATGAAGATGACACCAAATTATGCTATACAAACTACTCTTTAAAATCTATTAATAGCTAAAAATCAACAACTATATATTCACTTGGTACCAATTCAATGTATGCTTCCACCTCTTTTCTAACATTGTCATCTAAGCCAGCATAGCGGGCTTTCATTGTAATTGGCTGATTTTTGTAGATCATCTCATCACATGGGAAAAATATTATTGGATA